AGACAAGTACCATATGATATCACTTACATGTGGAACCTAAAATATGGCACAAATGAACTTATCCATGAGACAGAAACAGATTCAACAGTCAGAGAAAAGACTAGTGGTTGCCAAGGTGTAGGGGTTTGGGGGAGGGATGAGTGGGAGTTTTGGGTTAGCAAATCTAAGTTATTGTGCATGGAATGGATAAACAACGTACTACTGTACAGTACAGAGAACAACTATGTTCAGTATCCTATGATAAACCATAATGGAAAATAATATTTCAAAAATAATGTGTGTGTGTGTATATATATATGTATATATAAAACTGAGCCACTCTGTTATACAGCAGCAGTTAACACAACATTGGACATCAACTATACTTCAATAAAAAAGTAAAGAAACCTGCTTCCAGGACACATTTTACTTAAATGTTTTCAGTTACAGTATTTAAAAGACATTGTTTTAAGTAGCGATGGCCCAAACGATAATTAGTTTACTTGTAATCACTGATTACATATTCCCTATTCACTCAAAAACAAACAAAAAAAAAAACCAGAAAATTACTCCCAAATCCACAAAATCCAAATTAGAGAAATATTATAAATCTCTGAATCAATACATATGTGATGAGGGTACCCCAACACAGAAACAGTTTTCTCTCCTTTCTTTTAAGATACCAGTGTTTTCTCTTATTCTGAAATGGCTCATAATTTTTAGAAGGGAAAATATTTAGAGCTTCTTTCACCCAGTGAGCATCCTTGGGGACAGGAGGAAGTTGCCTAGTAATTAGAGAGGTAAAGTTATGATCAGACTTTCAGATGTTGTTGTAGAACTTAAAGAGGCTCAGACTCAGGACAAAAAAGGGAGGGAGGCAGCTTTTTGGAGGAACCAAGAATCTTTTCAGTCTGGGGAGTGGTACACTTTTACCGCAGGGTCCGGGGTGTGTTACAGTGGAGACTGTTTGCAACACTTGTTCTTACAAACCCTGTAGTTAGATAAGGATGGCCTATAAGTCCTATTACAGCAGAGTTAATGATCAAACTTTTTTTGCATTCAGATAAGAGATCAGAACACTTATAGCTTATTTGTCTCTATGTCTTGTATTTCTTTTCTCTTCCCTTATTTTCCTAAGAAGATTTTTCAGAAAAGCTACAACCTTAGGGCAACAAGAAGACTCAGAAGGCAGAGGGGTCAATGGTTGAAGTAGCATCCAGAGTAAGACCCACAGTCCTACTGGTCCAGGCAAATCTGCTGATGCAGGCAAGCACTTGCGGATGTAAAGGAAGCAGGCTCTAGGGAAGCTGGGAGGTGAGAGTTTTCCCCAAGTAAATACTACTGGAACCTAGTGACACTGTGAGAAATGATGCATTTCTCCTCGTCGGACAGGAAGAGCTAAGACATGCAGCTGAATGGGGACTGGCAGCTTATGCCTGCAGTTTTTCACCAGAACACTCAGCCTCATCCAGGGACTCATCAGACCTGAGCAGGGGTGTGTATCTGAAGTGTTTGCCAGAGTTCTGGGCCAGAATTCTGCCCAGCTCTGGGTCTCTCTCTTCCCTCCTTTTATAAAGGAGTATAGTGGTCCACCTCCCCACCCCAATCCTTGTTTTCTCTTTCCGTGGTTTCAATGACCCATCAAGCCTGGTCCAAAAATATTAAGTGGAAAATTCCAGAAACAATTCATAAGTTTAATCTGCACACCATTCTGCGTAGTGTGATGAAATTTCATACAGTCCAGCTCTGTTCCACCTGGGATCCCCAACCATGGCATGATGATGCAAGATCACTCAAAGATGACCCTCCTTCTTATGCACCATCAGAAGGTCAACAGTAACCTAACACTACATCACAATGCCTATGTCATTCACTTCACTTCCTCTCAACATGGAGGCATTTCATCATCTCACATCATCACAAGAAGAGTAAGTACAGTTCTATCAGTATCTATAAGACACTTTGAAAGAGACCACATTCATATAACTGTTAGTACAGTGCTTTTTTATAATTGTTCTATTTTCAGTTATTGTTGTTCAGTTCTTACTGTGCCTAATTTATTAATTAAACTTTGTCACAGGTATGTACTTGTGGAAAAAACATGGTAGTACAGGACTTTGAACCATCTATAGTTAAAGGCATCTACTGTGGGTCTTGGAACATGGATAAAGGGGGAACTACTATCAGGCTCTTCAATATGTGATAGTAAAGGCTGAATCTCAAAGTATTACCAATGTTGAAGTGTTGCTAAGAAGTCCTAGTGGTAGAGTGATTAGTAGTCCTAGTACTAGAGGCTGAGTGATTGGGTGACGTACACTTACCAGGGTTAAACTTAGCTTTAGAACAACTGCAACCATGGTACATTGTGACTTGAGTTCCTCACTACAATGTCTTAGTTTTAGATCCTTTTTCTCCTGTGGGAGGCCTATTGCTTATTGAAGCTAGTTTATCCATGTTTGACCCACTCTTTAGGTACTCAGATGTCTTTCCCCTAACGTTCAGCTTCACTTACAAGCAAAGATTGGCCTGTAGAACAAACTGATGGAGATGTATGGGAAGATGTATTCTTTCTCATATGATCAGGTTGTTTACTATATACTGTGGCCAAATCATTGGACTAGACCATTAAAAATCTTAAAATATAGTGGATTTTCTACCTAAGCTGTATTTTATGAACTTCCTTCCACCCATCACAGTTTTGGCAAAAATCAATCTTAAAAAAATACTCAAAATTTGCTCAAAATGCAAGGGAAAAGAAAACAGGAAGCTTTCCAGTGTGTTCCCTGGACCCAAAGCAACCTTATCCAACTGAGTGTGTTACTTGAGGCATAAAATTAAGGAGTTTTCATTTGAGCTTAAATAGCGGTTAAAGGAATTATTGCTGAAAATATTAGCGTTATAGGAATATTTTAAGTAACTAAGTAGCATGTCGTTCTATAGCCACAGTTATAGTACTTGGTTGCCATATTTGAGATTATTTATCTATTTTTGGTGGAGGAAAAGAGAACAGGGAACAGGGAGATGCAGGAAGAATTCCTGATTTTCTTTCAGTATTTTGTGGACAGAAAAATATTCCAGAGAAACAACTCAGAATTTCAGAATGAAGATGATATATTCTTCAAAATCCAATTCAGTCACCAAATTAGAAACACAGACACTTAATCTGCTGTCACAACAGTGCAGAGAAAGGTTACAGAGTGAGAACAGGGTAAGTGCCAGTTCCTTGCTAAACTTTAAACACTTTAAAAGATATAATACGTTGAGATGATTTAACACTTAGTTAACCCTTTCCAAAAGACCCGAACATTCAATGGCAATGCTAAGGGGCAGGAGGCCACCTAAAGATAGGGTCCCTGCTATGGTCTGAATATCTATGTCCCCTCAAAATCCACATGTTGACACCTAACACCCAATGTGATAGGATTAGGAGGTGGGGCCTTTGGGAGGTGATCAGGTCAGGAGGTTGGAGCCCTCTTGAATGGGACCAGTGCTCCTATAAGAGATTTCAGAGATCTCCCTTGCCCTCTCCTTCTACCATGTAAGGCCAAATAGGAAGTGGGTCCTTGCCAGACACTGAATCTGCTGGCACCTTGATCTTAGATGTTCCAGCTTCTAGAGCTGTGAGAAATAAGTGTTGTTCATAAGCTATTCAGCTTATGGTATTTTGTCACAGCAGCTCAAATGTGCTAAGAGAGCACCATCCCCAAAGTCTGTGTTCTTCTGCCTGTCTCAGTCCAAGGAATTACACAAGACTTAGCAATTGACTGAATCCACATTACATTGAGGCCCAACTGCCTTACAGAGGCTGTTTGCCTTACAAAGAATCAGCTGTAAATGTTAGGAAGCCATCTGTGTACCAAGAATGAAACTGTACTGTTCTTATGCCCAAGTCTCTCATGATTCTTATATTCTTTTCCTGTCACCAGCTATTGTTCTACATCAGATTTAAATGAAATAATCTTTCCAGTCCTCCCTAGGGCAGTGGTGCAAAGCTATTTTTGGAAAAACACTTAACGTCATTACTTCAGTTCTTTTTCATCATGACCCTCTTGTACGATGGCCTCAGCGTGCAGGTTCATAATCCCTTCTACAAAATTCTTGGACCAGATGTGTTTGGAATTCAAGATTTTTTCCAGGTATGGTGTCCTTAGCATGTAGTACACAAAACTTCCAGTGAGGTCCAAGCCAACACCTCATAATCAAATGCATTAACGTTTCTGCAGGGAAATGTATGAATTTTCACAATAAAGAAAAGCTGTAAATAGCCTCAGATTAGCTTAGGGCAAGCTTTGCCATCAAATGAGTTTTAGTGTCAGATCTGCAAAAACAACTGTCAGTTTTGGGGGCATTTTGGCTTTTGAAATTGAGGATAAGTAAGTGTCGATCTCCATTGGGTTTTCAGAGTTAAGACAAACTGAACTATTGGTGCTTAGAGAAAGAAGAGATAAATGCCACCACACACTCTAATCCAAGAACCTAAAGTAACCCGAGGGGGCCTTTCAAAGGGCTCTTTGAAACACCAGATTTGACTACATTAAACAGGGCTTTATGGAAAGTGGATTGCCTTTCTTCCTGGGCTCCCATCATCTGACCCTCGACATACGTTATCCCCCAGAGTGAGTCTGTGATGATTCTATTGTCATGGAATCTAAGCTGCATTGCTGACCTTCAGGGAAATGGCCCAGAAGTAGGCAGACCTAAGTGTCCTGAGACTCACAGAACATTCCCAGACTAGAACCTCAACAAGGCGAGAAGACTGTTGCAGCCAACTGGCATGCTTATACTATGACTCCACAATAAAGTGATTACACTGTTTGATTTTTTAAGAAGATAACCCCAAAAGTTGCCTTTTCCCTTAATAGAGGGGAACCGTTTGTTAAGCCCTATTCTTTGAAGTTTTAAAGTGGAATTGTGAAGATTATATTCTGGGTTGTGCTAGGGATTATATACTAACAAAGGGGTAAAGTGTTCTTGAACTGAGGGGCTGTCACCAGTGGAGACAAATGGAGGTAAAGGCTTACTTGGCTTCCAGGGCCAGTGCGATGATGCCCGCAGCCATGGGGGCTGAGGCTGATGTCCCTGTGTGGTTGTCCGTGCAACGCTGCCTCAGATCCGTAGTGATCTAGAAGACAGAAGTGGAAAATTTAGGGCTCTGGAGTCAACGTGAGTCACATGCAAGTAGAAAGAAATTTACTCATAAAACTGGAATGGAGGAGTGTTGAAATAGTTGTCTTAAATTCCTGGTTCCTGTGCTCCTGTGACCGTATCACTTCCAGAGAATTGCCTGTGTAAATCAACTTTGCAAAGGGAAGGGTCTGGAAATTGGATTCCACTTCTGTTACAACCGGGGTCAAGACTAAGGTGAGCCTTTGGACTGAAACACACAGGTTGTGCAAGTTTATCCTTAAAATCTACACCTAGCCACCTCACTTGCCTCACTCTGGTCCCAGCTTTAGCTAACATCAATGTACTTTTGTTACCCCAACATTTTAAATAATCAAACATGTTGAGCCAATCACCAGATACTGAGTTAAGCATGATCAGCGTAAGGAATAAAAGTACAGGGTTTTGTTTCTGCCCTCTCAGAACTATCACCTTGGAAAAGCTGCAGGTGAAACCAAAAGATTTGTTCTGTTTTAGAAGGAACGTTTGCTTACATACTCATTTTTAGGATACACAGAAATGTGACTTGGATGAACCACAATTTAAATCCTGACACATTTAACACAAACACTAAAAACAGGGTTGAAGCCAGTGCACTTGACGTGAAATTAACAGCCCTAAGTACACGCTTGAACACTATAGGAGATTAGCCATTTTCCATTTTTTTGAAAACCAAAATGTTAAGAATCAGATAGTCTCTTCTTGGTTTGAAGCCAGTTCACTTTAGCTGTGGTTGAATAACATGCCCATCAGCAAGGGCAGGGTTTCTCAACCTGTGTTTCATAATCATTTCCTGAAGGAAGAAAAATAAAATGCAGATTCTTCATAACCAGAGAAAGGAAGCATCAGGGTAAAAGATTTTGCAAACCATTATAACAGCTAAGATTTAAAAATCCTTCCTCCCTGATAAGAATCCATTTTTGTCCTCCCTCCTTGGGACTAACAGCCCTCCTGTTGGGAAGGTATGAGGCTTATGAGATGAACTTACTAGGACTCACACCATAGCTATTGAAAGACATTGGTAAAGCTTTCTGAGGCATCAAGGTAAGTACATCGCCCATATTTTACAGATAAGAAAACTGAAGTGAGGACATATCTGGTGGCTCAGTGGTAAAGAATCTGCCTGCCAATGCAGGAGACATGGGTTCCATCCCTGATCTGGGAAGATTCCACTTCTGCAGAGCAACTAAGCCTGTGCTCTAGAGCCCAGGAGCCGCAACTACTGGGTCCTTGTGTCACAACTACTGAAGCCCATGCACCTTACAGCCTGTGCCCCACAGCAAGAGAAGCCACCGTAATGAGAAGCCTGGGCACTGAAACGAGAGATAGCCCTGCTTGCTGCAACTAGAGAAAAGCTCGCGCAGAATGGAGATCCAGCACAGCGACAGATAAACAAACAAAATTATAAGAAAAATTAAAAAGAAAGGAAAACAGGTGAAAGATCAGCAGAAAGGTGCAGGGAGACAGAGGTGGCAAAAACAAAGCCCTGCTTCTTCTAAGGTGCATCCTTCAAGAGAAGTATGCAGATAAGCTGATTTGGAAAGAAATTTGATCATCACCAAAAGAAACTAATGTGTAACTCCTTAGAAATGAATCCTCCCCTAAAAGTTTCCTTGGTGTTGTGTGAGGATGTCTGAAGGGACTCAATAATTAACAGTTATAAAATGAGATGGACATCTTGGTGATTTCATCTCACATGACACCATCAGTGCTCACTGTCTGTTCCTAATGCCTTTTGACACCTCTAATATTACCAGCTTGGGCTTTCAAGGTGGCGATAGTGGTAAAGATCCTGCCTGCCAATGCAGGAGACTTAAGAGACACAGGTTCAATCCCTGGATGGGGAAGATACCCTGGAGGAGGAAATGGCAACCCACTCCAGTATTCTTGCCTGGAGAATTCCAAGGACAGAGAAGCCTGGTGGACTAGAGTCCATAGCGTTGCACAGAGTCGGACACGACTGAAGTGACTTAGCATGCATGCACACAATGTTACCAGCTTAGCCATACTAGAGAGGTGCTGATACAAAAGTAGTAGGAGAAAGAACAAAAATATAGATAAGCACATAGATATGGTGGCAGTAGAGAAGAGGAGATTCCTGTACTCCTCTCTGGGCTAACTGATTGCTGGGCAAGAGCCCGACGGCATGTTTGGCAAGCAGGGAGAGTTGTGTCTAGATTCACAAATTTGATTAGCCAGACATCCATGGAGCCTCCACACTGGGTGTTCAAGAGATATCTGGGTAAAGAGAGCCCTAGCTGTTTCTCTATTAAGAAATGCTCTTGCACTATTGGTGGGAAGGTGAATTGATGCTGCCAGTATGAGAACAGTATGAAGGTTCCTTAAAAATCTAAAACTAGAACTACCATATGAGTCAGCAATCCCACTACTTGGCATATACCCTGAGAAAGTCACAATTCAAAGAGACACATGTACACCAATGTTCACTGCAGAGCTATTTACAATAGCCAGGACACAGAAGAACCTAAATGTTCATCGACAGGTAAATGGGTAAAGAATATGTGGTATATGTATGCAATGGGATACTACTTAGTCTCAAAAAATGAATAAAATTGGGTCATTTGTAGTGATGTGAATGGACCTAATAAAGTCTGTCATATACAGTAAGCCAAAAAGAGAAAAAAATACTGTATACTAATGTATACACATTAAAAATACTGTGTACATTATGCATAATGCATAATATATGGATGTGAGAGTTGGACTGTAAAGAAAGCTGAGTGCTGAAGAATTGATGCTTCTGAACTGTGGTGTTGGAGAAGACTCTTGAGAGTCTCTTGGACTACAAGGAGATCAAACCAGTCAGTCCTAAAGGAAATCAATCCTGAATATTCATTGGAAGGACAGATGCTGAAGCTGAAGCTCCAATACTTTGGCCACCTGATGCAAAGAACTGACTTGTTTAAAAAGACCCTGATGCTGGAAAAGATTGAAGGCAGGAGGAGAAGGGGATGACAGAGGATGAGATGGGTGGATGGCATCACTGACTCGATGGACATGAGTTTGAGCAAGCTCCAGGAGTGGGTGATGGACAGGGAAGCCTGGCATGCTGCAGTCCATAGGGTCACAAAGAGTCAGACATGACTGAGTGAGTGAACTGAACTGAATGCATAGACATGAAATCTAGCAACATGGTAGAGATGAACCTGTTTGCAGGGCAGGAAAAGAGATGTGATGTAGAGAAGGGATATGGGGACATGATGTGGGGAGAGGAGGGTGGGATGAATTGGAAGAGAAGCATTAAAATATATACACTAACGTGTAAGATAGCTAGCTAGTGGAAAGCTCCTGCATAGCACAGGAAGCTCATTCCAGTGCTGCAATGACCTAGGAGGGTAGTTTGGGGGTAGGGTGGGAGGGAGGCTGAAGAGCGAGGGGTTACATGTAACTTACGGCTGATTCACTTTGCTGTAAGCAAAAGCCAACACAACATTATAAAGCGACTATGTTGTTAATTGTTTAGTTCCAAGTCACATCTGACTTATTAGAGACTCCATGGACTGTAGCCCATCGGGCTCCTCTGTCTATGAGATTTTCCAGGAAAGAGTACTGGAGTGGGTTGCCATTTTCTTTTCCAGGGGATCTTACTAACCCAGGGCTCGAACCCGCATTTCCTGCGTTGTCAGGAGGATGCTTTACCACTGATCCACCTGGAAAGCCCTTAAAGCTATGATACGCCAATAATAAAATTTTTAAAAATTAAAAAAGAAACTTCTGAGATATTCAATTGTTGACTTTAAAAAGGCATTTCTTTTGGTGGGGGGTGTGGATTAAAAAACCCCACAGATTTACTGTTTTAACAATGTTTAACAACGTACAGTACAGTATTGCTAATTACATGCATGTTGTTGTGCAATTCTAGAGCCCTATGATATTTTCATCTTGCAGGACTGAACTTCTACCCATTAAACAACTCCCCACCCCCTCTCCCCAGCAACCAGCATTCTACTGTCTGCTTCTATGACTGTCACCACTCTAGGTACCTCATGTCAGTGGAATTACACAGCATTTTTTGTGTGTGTGTGTGTGTGACTGGCTTATTTCACTTAGAATAATGTCCTCAAGGCTCATCCATGTTGTAGACTATGGCAGGATTTCCTTCTTTTTAGGCTGCATAATATTCCACTGTATTACTCCACTGTGTTATATAGTATATTTTCTTTATTGATTTATCTGTCAATGGGCAAATGATAGATGAATGGGTGTGTTGCTTCCACTTCTTGCTTATTGTGAATAATGCTGCAATAAACATGGTGTGCAAATGTCTCTTTCAGATCCTGTTTTCAATTCTTTTGGATATATACCCAGAAGTGGGACTGATGAACTATCAAAAAGTGATTTCCAGTTCATTTGAATATATGGGTGAATCTGCAGCCTTATTTTCCAAAGGCCTGGTCCCTAAGTCAAATGCATAAACACCACAGACGCAGCCTTTTTCTAGGTCTCTAAATACACTGTTGTTGAGAGATGGCCTTGCCTGCATTCTTCTCATTTTACCTCACCCTTATGGCCACATTCCTTTGCCAAGTTTTATTTTTTTCAATGACTTGTGCCTGAATTCAAGATTTTTCATGATGCTTTCCCACTTGGCTCACTTTGCTTATTCTTCAGCTGCACCACAATGCACCGCTTTCAATGCACAGAAACAAATCCAGAATAAACACTCCAAGTGTGTGTATGTAGTGTTTTTGAATCTAATAAATAACCACCTCCAGCCAACCTCAAATGTGAACGATAAAAATTTTATAATGTTGGATTTGCCATATGCCCCAACCAAATAGAGTCAGCAGGCATAGACACACATGATATGTACGTAAATAAAAACCTACTCAGTACCTTTATATATAAACACCAATTTATCGTTAAATGCTATTAATATAGGCAAGTTTGTAGAATTCGACAACATCATTGTTGTGCTTTTATATTTTTCTCCCAATC